TCCTCGGGCAAAGGAAACAAAAACAAAAATAAACTATTGGGACCACATCAAAATAAAAAGTTTCTGCAGAGAAAAGGAAACCGTCAACAAAGCAAAAAGACAACCTACAGAATGGGAAAAGATATTTGCAAATGATATATCTGATAAGAGGTTAACATCCAAAATATATAAAGAATTTATTCATCTCAATAACAAAAAAACCACAAATAATCCACCTAAAATATGAACATGAATAGACATTTTTCCAAATGACCACAGGCACATGAAAAGATGCTCAACATCACTCATCATCACGGAAGCAAATCAAAAGTACAATGAGATATCACCTTATACCTGTCAGAATGGCTAAAATCAAAAAGGCAAACAAGTGATGGGTATTAAGGAGGGCACTTGTGATGAACACTGGGTGTTGTATGTAAGTGATGAATCACTAAATTCTATACCTGAAACTAATATTACACTGTATGTTAACTGACTAGAATTTAAATAAAAACTTGATTTAAAAAATGCAAGAAACAACAAGAGTTGGAGAGGATGTAGAGAAAAAGAAACTCTTGTATACTGTTAGTGGGAAGAAAAATTGGTACATCAGTGTGGAGAGTCTTCAAAAAATTAAAAATAGAAATGCCGTATGATCCAGTAATTCCAATACTATTTACCCCAAAAAAACCCAAAACACTAATTCAAAAAGATACATGCACGCTTATGTTTTACTGAAGCATTATTTATAATAACCTAAAGATGGGAAGCAACCCAGTGTCCATTGATAGATGAATGGATAAGAAAGATGTGAGATGCACATACATACTAAAATATTACACAGCCTTAAAAAAGGATGAGATTATGCCATTTGTGACAGCATGGGTGGACCTAGAGAGTATTATAAGTGAAACAAGTCAGACTGTGAAAAACCAATACCATATGATTTCAATCATGTGGAAACTAAAAAAAAAAAAAAAAAAAAAAAAAAAAAAAATCAAATCAATAAACAAAAGCACAACTGGACCTATACAGAGAATAAACTGGTGGTTCCAAAGGTAAGGAAGGGGTGGGTGGGGTGGGAGGACAGGCAAAATGGGTGAAGGGGGGTGGGGAATAATAGGCTTCCAGTTATGGAATGAATAAGTCACAGGAATAAAAGGCACAGCACAGGGAATATAGTCAATATTGTAATAGTACTGTATGATGACAGGTGATAGCTATACTTGGGGTGAGCATAACATATAGAGAAGTCCAATCACTATGTGCACACCTGAAACTAATGTGACATTGTGTATCAACTATACTCAGATTAAAAAAAAAAATTGGGGGGAAGGGGGGCCAGAGTGGCTCAGTCAGTTAAGTGTCTGACTCTTGATTTCAGCTGGGGTCATGACCATGGGATTGAGCCTTGTGCGAGCTCTGTGCTGAGCATGGAATCTGCTTAAGATTCTATCTCTCCCTCTGCCCCTCTCCCCCACTTGTGGTCTCTCTCTAAAATTAAAAAAAAAATTTTTTAATGTTTCACCTAATAAATCTTAAAAAATTGTTTTGTGCAGCACCTGGGTGGCTCAGTCAGTTGAGCATCTGACCCTTGATTTCAGCTCAGGTCCTAATTCAGGGTCATGGGATCCAGCCTCAAGCTGAGTTCTGCACTAAGCATGGAGTCTGCTTGATATTTTCTCTCCTTCTGCCCCTCTCCCCTACTCACACACTCTCTCTCTCTCAAAAATAAAAATAAAAACAAATAAAAAATAAAAAGTAATTTTGTTGTCTCCACCATCATAGTGTTTAGAGTTGAAAAAAGGATATTATGTCAAAGATATTAAACTTCAGTCAGTGGTACAGTCAGGGGTCAGCAAAGCTTTTCCATAAACAGCCAAATAGTAAATATTTTAGGTTTTGCAGGCCATAACATCTGTCACGCCATTCAACTCTACTGTTGTAGTATAAAAGCAGACAGAAAATGTTTCAACAAATAAGAGGGGCTGTTTCCAATAAAACTTTATTAACAGGACAATTAAATTTGAACTTCACATAATTTTCACATGCTATGAACTATTAATCTTCTTTTGTTTTTTTCCCCACTATTTAAAAATGTAGGGGTGCCTGGGTGGCGCAGTCGGTTGGGCGTCCGACTTCAGCCAGGTCACGATCTCGCGGTCCGTGAGTTCGAGCCCCGCGTCAGGCTCTGGGCTGATGGCTCGGAGCCTGGAGCCTGTTTCCGATTCTGTGTCTCCCTCTCTCTCTGCCCCTCCCCCGTTCATGCTCTGTCTCTCTCTGTCCCAAAAATAAATAAACGTTGAAAAAAAAAAATTTTAAAATGTAAAAATTACTCATAGCTTAGAGGCCATTCAAAAGTCAACAAGCTGTATTTGCCCCACATGCTATAGCTTGCAGACCTCTGATATAATCTCCCTTCCAAATGTAGACACACCTAGAGAAAAACCAGTAAGGATCTATCAGCCAGCTTACATAGGCCTACTGCACTCTTATCGTATTTTTGTAAATATTCACAGTCACAAATAAATCAGATGATCCCATAGGTGGAAGAAACCAGCTCACAAATAAGACATGAGAAAGGACTGACTAAAGCAGAAAAAAAGAGGGAATTTTTGCTTAAAAGTTTAATTTTTTAATAAAAAATAATTTGGAGTAATATACAAGAATCTTTTGCCACGTAATATACTTAGTTTCTGGGTTTTGCAAAGTAATAAAGGTTCAGATTTCCAATGATTTATCTGAAAACATACACTAATCTATTTGAATTCTGCATACAAATTTCTTTAGTGAGAAATCCCTATACTTGTAGTCTCAGCATCTAAATATTAAACCATATTTAACATTGGCAACAAAACAAGCACACTTATTTATAAGAGGTAAGAAAGAAGCTGGAGATGTCTATAATGGATAGTTTTTACATGCCTTTTCAAAAGGCTCTACATTTTTTATTTAATTTTCCTTCAAAATACATGGCTGTCTTCATCCTTGCACAGATTACAGATTTATTGCTATTATATTATCATTCTTAAAGCTACAATTTAATTAGAAGCTTTTTTTTTTAATCATAAAAGCAGAAAAAGGAGGAAAAATTTACCTAAGAAACCTGATGAAAGAGTATCTGAGGGTGAAAAAAAGAAAATGAATATGTGCTTATATGCAAGTTCCAAAGCTTAGCTAATTTTGTTAACTACTCTCACCAAAAAAATCACTAAAAAGGACATAAAGTATAAGATCTATCTGAATTTAAATAAATGGAATGAGATATACTGCAATGGGTGATTAAATCAACTAAGTAAATTAATTATAAATAGATCTACAATGAAATACTGTTAAGAAAGATGAAAGATGATCTAGGCGTTATACACCAAAATGATATACCAGTGAACACAATATGCACAGAAACTATATACACTGTGCGTAGAGTATACACTACTATAATAAAAGAATAAATATACACAAGCACATATCTTACATTTATATAAAAATGTTTAAAGGTTATCTATGGATTGTGGGACTAGGAGTAATGTTTTTCTTTCTGGCTTATCTGTATTTTCAAATTCCCTAAAATAAACATGTAAAACGTGCATACTAAAGGAATACTAGCCTAGAAACAAAAAACAAAGCATTTATTTCCTTAGAACATTCTGCCCTTTGCATAATAAACAATTTCTGAATGAACATAAATATACACATACATATACAATGTATAAACAAATGAAAGTAGGGGAAGCAACAGGCTAAGAGTCTTAAGTTGTAATTTGGGTTACCAGAAGACAATTAAGTATAATGTTGACTTCTGACATGAATGAGGAGAGCAGGTTAAGAAAGGAAGGCTGAAGAAATAGGTCAAGCATAGGTTAAATTTTTGTTTCTTTAAATGTTTCCTTTGTTCATTTGTAAGCTCAGAAATATAGGTGAAATTACAGTTAGTACTGCTAAAAAATATATCAGGTAAAAATACTTAATTCAGTGTTGAATTATGACAAGATGAGAAATGATTAAAGTTAAAAGAAATAAAAAATGATCTTAGCTATAAGAATAATAAAACACAAGAACAAGCACATTTTGGAATCTTCATTCTTAAAGTCGTGTTCTACATGTGTATCGATTCATCTCACTGAAGACAGGTGGTTGAGACAAATGATCTTTCACAGATACTTTCAGATCTACAATTTATAACTCAATTATCCTGCTCAACATTAATAAAGAAAGAGCAGAAAACTTTGACTACTCCCATCATCACTTCCTCAACTCCCACCATCACTCCCTCAACTTAAAGACTTATTTATAAAGAAGAGAGAAGGGCCTGTAGAGATGTCTTGGGTCTTGGTAGAATGGCAGGTACCACAGGATAGAAGGTAACAGAGTTAGTACATAAAACTGACCCCATACAAGACTCAGAAATAATTTGATCAAAATCAAAGCAGTAAATCTATACTAGCACTACCCATTTTGTGAATAAACAGGAATATAATTTCAGATGTCTACAAAACTGTTCTTTCCTAGTGCTCTACATTTCCAAGCAAGCAATAAAACAATTGAACTAGGGTATCACAGTAATTATATCATAAATCAAAATCTTCCACTAGGATTTATGCTACAGCATTTGAAAGAGATGGCTATACTACATAACAAATAGTATTATACATAAATATAAGATTCTGAACACACATGGCAGGATTTTTCAGAATGACAATCTTATTTCCAGGCTGCCTATCTCATGAGCAACAGAAAATATTTACTTAAATCTTCTTTAAGAATAAGTGAGGACACATAATATGTAATAAAAATTAAATTGTACCATTAAGCCAAAAACAAGCTTCAGTTTTCATTTTGATCAGTGTACTAAAGTTTTTAAAAAGATTTATAAAACAAAATATTTGGATTTTATTTATTCATTTAAAAATACTAATTAAACAAGACCACAAATTCATATTTAATATAAAGTTAGCATAGAACAACCATTTTTTGTGTATTAAATGGGACAGAGTTTTAAAATAAAATTTAAAAAGCATTACCTTCAAATAAACTGAGGTCTCTTCGTAGCCGTGGTCCATAAAGCCCTTCTAAAATACTCTCAAAACCTGTGTTGTAAAAGAGAGAAAAATATATAACCTACTGGAAGAGTTAATTTTATAATAATCAAAAACCATGAACTCTATATGATTTAGAAATTTATAAATTTTACATACTATAAGGTGTCATTTTTCCTTAACGTGTATTAAGCTGAAGTAGGCAACACACAATAAACAATCAAACAATGACTATCAGAAATCACATGATTGTGAAATTAAAATATTCAAATGTAAATATTCACAACTAAAACAAGTAAATATCTTTGTTACTTAGAAATATTCTGAGGTTGAAATATTATAAGCAGTAATAATTTTGTAGACAGAATAAATAACAAAACATGTACTACATTCCAGTTTGTATTTGTTATAAAAAATGTTAACGTAAAAGAAAGTAGCATCTTTAACCCCAATTAAAAGAATGAGTAAAAGAATGAGAAAATCTTGCTGTGAAAAGCATGATGTGCAAAATTTAAATCTACATACTTGTATAAATGAAAACACAACAATTTTTTCATGGTTATGGACTGCCTTGTTTTAAGGAAAAAAATTACTGAATATCTTGTCAGGTTAACAAGACCCTAATTCATGAATTTACAAGAGTATTCTACCTTCTGAATATACTGATTTTAGTATTTTACAATTTTCTTTTTGAAGTCTGTACCTGTATCTTATTCAATTTTAAGCAACTTAATAAACTACAAGGCATCTCAAGAAAAATGACCAGAACGGCAAAATAACCAGGAAACCAAGGTTTTTTTTTTTAGTGGTATTCCTAAATTATAAAACAGTGGAAATACTTCTATAGAAATGTTTAATAAATCATAAAATGTTTTATTTTTTAAAAATGTTTATTTATTTTGAGAGAGAACGTGTGCAAGCAGGGGAAGGAGAGAGGAGAGAGAGAATCTAGGCAAGCTCCATGCTGTCAACAAGGAGCCCGGGATGGGGCTCGATCCCACAAACCACGAGATCATGATGTGAGCCAAAATTGAGAGCTGGATGGTCAACCGACTGAGTCACCCAGTCACCCCCATAAGATGCTTTAAAAAAAATGTTTTTTAGTATCTTTGAAATCAAGATGTATATTAAAATCAATGGTGTGTTATAGCCAAGGAGTGGCAACATTTTTTTCATTTAGTAGAACATGAAGAAATAATACAACTTACAACTGATGTCTTAGATTTGACAAGATAGTTATCATGATACTTGGTAAACACGTACTTAATAAAATCTTCGTGAAACGATTCAGTACTAGTTCCAATAGTGGAAATTTCAGGCAGAAAGTGAATGAACTATCACCAGAGAGAGCTTTCAAGAATGCCTCATCAGGGAAATACAAATCAAAACCACACTGATATACCACCTCACGCCAGTCAGAGTGGCTAAAATGAACAAACCAGGAGACTATAGATGCTGGAGAGGATGTGGAGAAACAGGAACCCTCTTGCACCGTTGGTGGGAATGCAAACGGGTGCAGCCACTCTGGAAAACAGTGTGGAGGTTCCTCAAAAAAATTAAAAATAGACCTACCCTATGACCCAGCAATAGCACTGCTAGGAATTTACCCCAGGGATACAGGAGTGCTGATGTATAGGGGCACTTGTACCCCAATGTTTATAGCAGCACTTTCAACAATAGCCAAATTATGGAAAGAGCCTAAATGTCCATCAACTGATGAATGGATAAAGAAACTGTGGTTTATATACACAATGGAATACTACATGGCAATGAGAAAGAATGAAATATGGCCTTTTGTAGCAACGTGGATGGAACTGGAGAGTGTTATGCTAAGTGAAATAAGCCATACAGAGAAAGACAGATACCATATGTTTTCACTCTTATGTGGGTCCTGAGAAACTTAACAGAAGACCATGGGGGGAGGGGAAGGAAAAAAAAAGG